CAAAATGGCAAAAAGAACGCATTTTTAGAAATTTCAAAACAGACACTCAAAATACAAAACACAAAAAGAACGATCCCTTACATTTTCTATTTGTAAACAATGTCGATTCAGTATTGGACGGATCTATAGTAGTGTTTTCTTTGGGTCTTCCCATCATCACCCTTCTTGTATTCTCATCGTACCTAACTTCTGGAAAAGCCTTCTCGACATCTGGTAAATGGATTTGATTCGACGATTCAATCCCTCACTTCATCCAAATCTTTGCTGAGGCCATATAAAAAATCAAGCAGGCTCTCTTTGTTTAACATTTTCTTAAATTTCATACTATCTTCATTGCATTTCCAGCTATAGTCCTGAAATAGATCTAAATATTTCCATAAAATCAATAGGTCATTATAATATTTAGTAATGGAATTATCACCCATGTTTTTTTTCACTATCGGCATATTTAAGTTCTAAAATTTGTGCTAAATTTCCAATATCGGAATATGTTTTTAGCCACTGCATCCCATATTTCCTTCGTTATTTTGTAGTAAAGGTATGTTTGATCAATCGTGGGCTCCACATAATTGATCAACAAGCCTTCACCATTGAGTTTGCTGATTTCTTATAATCTGCCAAATATGTTTTCGGAGCCTTTGCTTCACCCGTGATGTGATCAAGCCTCATCTTTCCATCGATGACCAACATAGCGGATTGGGACCACTCCATGAAATTAGCTCCATTTGATTTCGTTGGAGTGACCTACAAAGTGTGGGAATCGGATGGGCTATAAAGAGTCATTTGAGCCATCAAGTTTGCCATATAGGAAAGACTATCGAAAGACCCTACTGCTAGTGCATCACCTTTCATGGCCTAAGTAGTCATTAAAATCGGTTGAGAAGAACCTGCTCTGATACCATATAAGAATTCACTTGTTTATCTCTGAAATAAAAATTACAACAAACTGCAAGAAAGATTCTCTCATTTTTCCTTTTTCCTATTTTTACCCTCAACCTACCAACAGTCAACACTCAATGGTAAAATTCACTTTTCATCAATCGATTCCTTTCTCAACCCACTAAACGACCAAACAATGTTTCCATTTTGAAATTGCTATGGTCCACCACAGACACACGCCATTTTCCAAGAGCCCAATCCAGAGACGATCTTCAAAGAGGTTAGGTATTCTTTTACCACTCTCGATCTCTCTCCAATAGTACGCT